GTGGTGGTAATGGACACTCTGGGAGCCATGGAGGTGGAGGTGGCAGAATATCTCTAGAAGTACCAGATACAAGTCTTGAATTTACTGGTTTAATAGATGTTGCTGGTGGAAATGGTACTTTATATGGGACATCAGGTATGCTAAATTATTCACATCAGTTTTGTTATCATCCTTGCTTGCTTATTGTGTCGCATGCTATGAAGGTTACGTGAAATAATAACCCAGACATTGTACTCTGTGATATTTGATGGCAGACTTCAGTAATAATGGCTCATCTGAATATTTGTTTCCTTTTGTCAAATGAAGAATATTGCAAACCTGAATGGTCCAGTACTCCCATATTCAATAATCACATCTACATCTTTCTTACAACAGGTACATTGTTTATCAAAGACATGCCTCAATCTGTACTAGAATCTACACTAGTGTTAGCAGGCAGTGGAAGTGAACCTGTCTTAATTCCATTTGATACATGGTCTGATATTGAACACTTGCACAATCTGCAAGTATTAGACAGTGTTGTATTTGACATAGATAATGATATAACAGTTGATACACTGATGGGTGATAACACTGGAAGTATAATAGCAAGTACTGGTGTGGCCACTATCAAGACTGTGCTGCATCCATCTAAAGGAACACTGTGTAACTTTGATGTAAGATCTGGAGCTGAAGTTCATTTCATAAATGATATTAAATTAAGCAGTGACATTACTGAAGTGTTACAGTTGAATGGCAAATTAGTTACACCATCAGTCACCATTGATGAAGACCAGACTATCTTGGTTGCTGACACTGGTGTTCTGGAAACTGAGCAGTTCATTCTTGGTATAAAGTCAGTTGCTGTGTTCTCACCTTTGTCAATGGTCGGAATAGACAGTGATCTGTCCCTACCTGGATCCTATGCATTCAATAGACTTGAAGTAGGAGTTGATGCTACTTTGACCTTGGAGGCTGCAGATGTCAGTATTGTGAGTGTAGATGTAACAGTCAAGAGTGGAGGATTGATCCAAATGACAAGTCTGTATAAAACACTTCATGTCATTGCGAATGCTACATATATTGAAAGTGAAGGGTTAGTATCTGTAAATGAAGGAGGTCACATAGAAGGAACTGGGAGACCGAGTGACTCTACCAATGGAGCTAGTCATGGTGGTGAAGGAGGATACATGAATGAGCCTGTGGGTGAAGTATATGGATCCACAATGCTTCCAAGTGAATTTGGAAGTGGTTGTGGATCTGCTGTGAATCAAAGTCGAGGTGGTGGAATCCTAACATTTGCTGTCAACGGTGCATTCGTTTTGGAAGGAATACTTTCTAGTAATGGTGGAGATGGCAGTGTTGGTTGCGGAGGCGGAAGTGGTGGGAGTGTGTTAGTTGAAGCTGGTAAGGTCGAAGGTCATGGCCAGGTTACAGCTCATGGAGGATCCGGTGCAGCTAATATCTCAGCTGGTGGAAGTGGTGGACGTGTGGCTTTGTACAGTGATGACGTTTCACTGTTTAGTGGTGATATATTGGCATATGGTGGGCATGGAACACTCCCTGGGGCTGCAGGAACTGCCTACATGAAGTACACTGAGTATGGTCTACTGACAGACTATATCATCATAAACAACAACAACCAGCAAACACCAAGTAACACAATCATTTTGAATGATCAAGATCAATTCATCAATATTGCGAATTTGAAAATATTGAAACATGGTCGACTAGAAGGACGAAACTGGCAAACGATCGATGTAGGACAACTTGTTGGTGATAACACTGGAACAATCATTGTTATTGATCATCAAAACATGTCAATAGCTACATCATTTGGAACCAGTCAGCCGTACATCCTGCATAGCTCAATCATTGTAGAAGAGAATGGAGAATTGAGACTACCATCATGGGTGTATATTGATGCACTCCAAACTAAGACATCATCCATTGTGTTAAAGGGCATACTGAATGGTGCCCAAGACTTGGTAGTTGGTGATAATGCTGTCTTTGAAGTCTATCAAACAGCACATTCTGCATTGTCTGATGGTGATGAATATTTGTACATTGATGACCCTGGGACACTGACCTTCAACTCAATAAATATTTTAAGTAATGGCAAGATTTTATTCAACACTGATGCTGATATAGTAGTTAATTTGATTGTTGTGTCTTCTGTGAATGTGAAATACAGAGGTTTAATCAGTGGAAAGAGGTTGAATATGATAACAGCTGCATTGCAAGTTGATTATGAAGGAATGATCATGGTTGACGGGGGTGGGTATGTAGCTGATACAGGTCCTGGTGCTGGTGTGTACAATGACGCTGGTGGATCTGGTGCAAGTCATGGTGGATGTGGAGGGATTGGTTCTGCTGGAATCAGAAACATGATTTGTTCATATGGTACATTGTATGAAAGCACAGAACATGGCAGTGGTGGTGGCAGCAGTATCGGTGGTGTTGGAGGTACAGGTGGTGGAATACTGAGCATTGAAGCAGATAAATGCAGACTTGATGGTATCATTAGTGCTGCTGGATTAAGCGGCACTGGATCAGCCGGTGGAGGCTCTGGTGGTACTCTGTATTTCAGCATATAACTGAATTAACTGG